GTATGCTTCGTTCAGTTTTTGTGCTCGCCAGCGGAGGAGGCGCGTCAGCAGGAGTCGGACCACGGCGAGCACGAGTCCACCGGTCCGCATTTTACCGAGTTAGCCGATAAAACTTTTTCGGCGCTTTCTCGAAAGCGAGTTTTCGTAATTTCGGGGCCTATTTTTTCGCTGTGACCCGTTGGGGTGGCTTTTCTGATACAGTTTAGCTGTATTCAAGTAGAAAATGTTTAGAAATTTGATATTTAGGCAGAAAAATCGATATTTTCGCATGACCCGATATTGCGAAAGAACCCCTTTTTTTGCTAATATCGTCTTTGGTTTTTGGCCTAACTGGTTTTGCTATCCCCCACTCACATACGTTTTAATAAACACTTAAAAAGGGACTAATAAATCAATTTAGGTTTCGGCGGTACGTCGCGCCGATAGACTGGATGTTGTTGCAGCGTGGATGATGCCCTGGAGGCTCGAAGATTACCTCTTTTTAGTTACCAGATCACGATGTACATTTCTCCATTGCTAACTCGTTTTGTATTCCTAATGAATTTTTGGGTCGTCTATTTCTACCCATCCCATCCTTGCGTTCTGATTCCTAGTCCGTTAGTTTTGTTTCACGATAATGTATCCCTATTCTACAACCTTTTTTCTGCATGCCTTTTGTACCCACCGGGTTTTTCTAATGAATATATTTTATTCCTAAACGGGCCTTGTCACCTCCTGCATCGAACATACAGAGTGCCGGCGGTGGTTCTTGCTCGGTGTCATCGACGGAAGGGGCCCGATTTTTCGTCTGTAAATTTTGAATGATGATTGAGGGTCTCTTGGATTTCTCCTACTTGAAGTACACGTCGAGGATGATGAAGATCGACTCGCCAATGATGCAGACCAACGGCCACCATACGAGCACTTGAAACATCGCTTCGAAGAGATCCACGCAGAATTTGGGGTCACTATTGAAAAGGTAAATAGTAAAGTACTCGTGTTTACCTTGTTATAATTGAAGTAGATATTGTGCTATTGGCAGGGTCAGAAAAGTTGTTAGTTAACAATGAAGCCGGTGTCGTGCCGATATCAACAACAGGAATTCTAGTGGTCGATGCGGAAACAACAGCTCCGCACGGTACCTAGATTGTAATTTAAAAAATAATGTCAAGGATAAATTACATACTTTGGCAGTTTAATAGTTTTTCATAAAATGTACCGGTGTTTAAACTGGGAAAACTATTTAGAAAACGGATAAAAGGTTAAATAACTACTTTTAGTCGAAAATCTACTATTTTGAAGCGCCAGTTTGAAAACGGATAAAAGGTTAAATAACTACTTTTAGTCGAAAATCTACTATTTTGAAGCGCCAGTTTATCTTTTTTTTCAGTTTTTCATAATACGACCCCGATAATGCGAAAGCACCAAATCGTTTCTTAAATATACCTTGTATCGGCTATAACCGCCAAAGTCTAGTAGTGCCATCATAATGATCGGGGCCAACTGCTCGGCCGGCTTGTTGAACAGCGCCTTGATGGTGAAGATCAGCGTCGACAGCGGTGAGCTTAAAGAGGTATATATTTCTATGCTTTTATAATTTCATTAATTCTGGAGACTGACCTCCTTTTGTGCAACGCTTGATCTGTGTCGATCACCTCACCGCAGATGAGCAGGTATAACCCCTGGGCTCCGCACCGGCCGAGTGTGCTGTACTAGACGCAATAAGTTGGGAATTATTTCAAGGAGGTATTTCCGATTTTAGTTTTATCTTAATGTCTTTCTAGGCCCTAAAGCTCACTTTTCGACGAGGATATAAACTGCGACGGCAGCGTAGGCCGAGCGGCCGATGAAAAGTATGACGGCGCCCGAGATCAACGCCAAGACGTTCAGCCCCAGCAGGGTTGGGTGGGCACCGTGGCGATGGACTGGGTAGAAGAGGAATAGGAAAAGTACCTGAAGGTGGGGAGAGTCTAATAGGATATCAGAATAACGGACCCTTCCTAGTGTTCTGACAAGAATGTAGAAAACGGTCAGCTCCACGGACCCGAGCGGCATGAAGCCGTTTCTGGACAGCAGCGAGGGCACGAACATCAACAGGAATTGCTCGCTGGCCATTGTTCTGAAAAAAGAGAAGTTGTAGAAGTATTAAAAGTAGTAATAGCTAATCTAACGCTACAAATAAGATAAACTGGAACTGGACTGTTAGCGGGATGGATATTCGCGTGGATATCCAGCTTAAAACAGCTTCCGGGTTTTAGAATGTGGTTTTTTAGTGTTTTTCGTAATTTTTATTTACTCAAAAACCATAAAATATATTTAAAAAGTAACAAACATTGAAAATTAGGGCGATTTTTCAACATTTTTGGCCAAAACAACATTTTTCGTTATTTTTACACTCACATTACATTTTTGTGCTTTTTCATGAACTTTCTATACCTAAACTTTAAGCGTGAAAAATGGTCTCCCCCGCTAACAGTACAGTACCGATCGACCTACCGCAACGTCCTGAAGAAATTCGAAGCAATAAGGCACAAAAATCGGGGCTGCTTCACGATTTCCCAGGTGATGCCGAGCGCCTTGAAGATGTCGTCGGTGTCCACCGGCTCATCTACCCCCGTTTTTGCGAGCTGGAGATGAACATCAAGTTTTTTGTGTCTTTTTTAAGGAAATACCAGATCCAACTCGACGTCTACGGCTTTACTTTCAGGATTTTCAGGTGTATCGAGGAAGTAGGCGGAAATGAACATGAGCAACCCGGCAATCACGCAGATGACGCTGGCGCAGACCTGTAGATGATTTTTGCAAGGTTTTAAAAAGGTTTTCATAAAATTTCGAGCGTCTTTTAGGGGTTGAAAGCGGGACAAACCTGAAAAATGCCGACATGCTGCATATTTCCGGATAAATAGTCGATCGGAAAGATAACGAAGCCGGCTAAATACATTTTTTTCGGTGGGTTGGTCATAAAACCTACCAATTATGGCAAATATCTCGCCGAGGACGACAATATTCACCCTACCTTGGTGATCTTGACCCAACTAAAATGATTGGAGGTTACTTTTATAGTTAGTACGGCTTTTTATAATCGTATTTGTTTTTATATAGCTGCTTTAGGTGGCTAATCAATAAAAAAACGCCCACCTCTACGCAAATGCCGCAGTACGCCGACCCGACGAGCGTCATTAGGGTGTCGTACGAGAAGAGGGCGACCAGGAAGTGGGTTGCGACAAGCAGATCGTTTGAACTTCAAACTTTTATAATATTCTTCAGCTGTCAAAAACTGACGTTGACAGCGGAAACCAAAAAATGAGGGAAACGGCAGCCCAGACTGGGCCGGCGTACATCATCACCTTCCGCCGGTCCATGATCCAAGAAATTCCGCAACCGACGTCCTTAAAAAAAGGAAACTTATCAGATTATCGAGTTATATAAAGCGGATTTTTTATTTAGTTTCTTTGAGCATTAAATCTAAAAGCTAAGCTCAGGAAAACACGGGAAAACCAGTTTTTTATCGCTTCAAAATTCGAAACTCTAATTTCATTTATTTAAAAGTCTAAGCCTAAGCCAAGCCTCTGTATGGAAACAATACCTGAAAATAGCCCATCAGTGGGTCGTTGACGGCATTCCACACTAAAAATAGTCCCTGAACAATGTTGAGCTTGAAGGTGGACAAGTTGTAGACATCGACGAAAAGCTAAAACCCCCATTTTAATAGTATAGTTTCATCATACCTTCAAGGAATATAGTGACTGGAGCCCGATTAGAAATATCAGGCCAAGTAGCGCGGACTGGACGAGGAAATTGTTTTTGGTGAAGATTTTGGAGAGATCTGAAAAAGAGTTAAAAAGTAAAACTACTTCTTTAGAACCCGTTCTAATATAAATATACGCAATGTTTTAAAACTGTTTTATATTATTCTTGAAGGTCAAAACTTCACAAATTTTCAGCAAAAATGCGAAACAAAGCTATTTGCGCCCAAGTCTGGCCGATTTTGAACCAAAAATTTTAATTTTTTTTTAAGTTTTTAGATTGTTGTTCTACTTGAAATATAGGTAAATTTTACTAAAAACACTCGTTATTACGTTATTATGTATTTCTGAGCTAATAGGACAAGTTGCGCCCCCCGGTAATGTACAAGAAACCGACTCACCAATTTTCTGGCTCATTCTAGATATTTTCTAGGGATCAGCCACGTTTTCGAGTCCGAGAAGTAGCTGATCAGTGGCTGGTGACCGATGAGCGGGATCAACGAGATTAATTATGCGGCCCAGGAAGGGGGAGGAGGGAGCTCCTGTGAACCTATCAAATCTGAGGCTCAGCAGGGCTCACTTCTCAAAATATTCTGGAGGGCTGATAAGGGCTGGGGTGGTGGCGGGTGCCCCCGGGCAGAAGACTACGTACAAAATTCTCGACCGGAGAGTGTAGTAACAAAAAATACGTAGGTCGCATAAACGCATTTTTCAAAAAAATATCAAAAAAGGTAATATCACGCGGGTTGCCATGCCAGTAATGCTCTCTTCATTGAGGGAAGTTGACGCATTCAATGACACATTTGACCACCAGTACCGTTTTGTCATTTCCGGGCGTAGACTTTTTTAATAAATTTTCATCTTTCTTAATTTTCCCCAATTTCGGATTTTTCATGAGATGCGGAAACTGTTTTCAATAAAGAACGTTCCTTGAAACTCGATAGACACTGGGCTTTTTTGAGAAAAAAAATTGCTCCCTCTAAAACATAACTATGCACTGAAAAACAGAGCGTCTATTTAAAGGGTTTGGAAGTGCGTGGTATGATATTAAGCGCTAGATTAGTGCGTTTTTGCTACTAATTTTTATAATCTTCAACGGGTCCTTATCGTCCACTTAAACCCTAAAACCGGATGTTTGGATTTCGCCAATGCGCAAAAAGTGGCCAAAACTCTCTTACCGGCCCCATAACATATAGATATTGCGTGCATTAACCCGATTTTTGATATATTTTATTTATTATCACAATTATTTAGGCGCTGCCATAGCTGCTGCTCCCGCCGCCGCTTCTTCCTTGGCCTCCTTTGCCGCTTGCTCCGCCTAAAATTTCAAATTTCCGATCACGAGCTCTGGAAAGCCTACAGCCTGCGCCTCCTTGTGCTTATCGTCGGCCTCCATATTGTCGAGGTCGTGTTTTAGGTCATCCAAATCCTGAAAATTTGCCTATATCCTGAATCTGCTACCGTACCCTCATCCTCGGGTCGCTATTCAGCATGGACGGGTCGATGAGCTTCTTCCGGCCGCCGAAGCAGTACAGGCAAAGCACGCAGAAGAGGCCGCAAATCTGGAAAATCGGTTTCCCCATGAATCTCTGCTAGTTTGCCTCGATTTTCTGCTTGAAAATCCTTAAAAATCTCTGCTGGCCGGCTACCCAGATCCAGCGAATTTTGGAGGCCCCCGAATCGTCGTTGCTAGTTGACCCCAAATTACGCACTTAAAAATATTTACTGTCAGAAAATCTAATTCCGCAAATGATCCCTGCTAGCTTGCCTTGACCCTAGGAAGTCAAAAACTCAAAAAATCGACCACCTCGACAACCGAAATAATCGACAATCCCAGCCAAAGTCCAGCGTGGCCACCGAGATCATTGAGGACTTGTGAGATCTGGAAAATCAATTATAGCCATAGTCTCGATAGCGAAAATCCCGACAGGTCAAAATCCCGACAAGCCGAAATCCCGACATGCCAAAATCCCGACAAGCCAAAATCCCGACAAGCCAAAATCCCGATATGCCAAAATACCGACATATCCGTGATGTCATTTCGATTGCCACTTTCTTTTAAACAGCTATTTGTATGTCGGGATCTTGGCCGTCGGGATTTTTACTGTCGGCTTTTTCTAAAACCCGTACACCATAATTAGCATTCTCCTGGTAGTGCTGGTAGTTGAGCGAGTCGTAGAAGACCTAAAATGCGGTCCTAGGTGGTTAGCAAGTAGATGATCAACCTGGAGGAGCAGCGAATTCTGGGCATACCACTCTCGGCACTCCTCGGCTTTTGACGCATTCGTGCCGGTCCCGGCGAATTGGGCGGTGCCCGGTTGGCAGGAGCCGATCTGAAATTTTAAAGCGGGTTGGACAGCTTGGATAGCGAGAGAGATAGAGAAAGAGCGAGAGATAGAGAGCGAGAGAGAGAGAGTGAGCGCGAGAAAGGGAGCGTATGAGAGAGAAACAGCGAGATAGTCAGCGAGATAGAGTGTGTGAGATCGCGAGAAAGAGAGAGAGGGGTAGATAGAGCGAGAGAGCGATTGGGAGAGCGAACCAGACAGCGTTTCCAGAAATTCCTCCCCATTTCCAAAAATCTCAAAAATCCCTGACCAAAAAGCAGAATCAATCCCTTCCGCTGATCGCGTCTGATCACTTCCCTCAAGCTTATCGCCCTTTTTTAGGGGCGGACTAAGCGGCTTAATTTGGGCAGGGAATGGCAGAACATTCCACAGGAAAGGGACAAGATGCCCTAAAAAGCACCGCCGGTGTTTTCGTCAAGAGATAATCGCGGGGTTTAGCCAGTACTCAGCTAGCGTCACTGGTTATCATCTACCCGGGCTTTGAAAGTATCATAAGCTGTAAGGAGGGGAGCAGAAATTCTTTGGGGAGACCCCGGGGTAGGCTAGCAGAGAGCATTTAGGAAAATTAGGAAAACAGAACAATATAAGCGAACTGGTTTACGATGAATGGATGCAAGATATGCTGTCAGAGATCCAATTCCGTGGATGCAATTTAGCATAGAGCTTTGGAGAAAAGGGTCGAAGCACTTGGCAATCTAGCCAAGATTTTTTAGGAAATCAGGAGGTCAAGCAGCTGCCAGAGTTCATTTAAAATGGCACGAGAACCAGGAATTCCAGCAAAGATTATTTATGATATCCTGGCAGCAAGGCAAACTAGCAGAGAGCTTTAAAAGAATCAATAGCCCGGGCAGTCTCGCAGAAATATTTTGGGAAGAATCAATTCCTAGTGGAAGCGCTAAATTGTGGGCAAACTAGCAAAGTTTCTTTGCCGAACCGAAACGAGCAGTAATCATTTATAAAACTCAAAAGTCTAGGGTTAATCTTCTACGATCGAATCAATGTGGGGTTTCGGGTTAGCTCGCAAAGGTTATTCAGGAAACAAGAAAAACACTTACCGCATCTGCAGCTGACGAATCGGCAGCTACGTAATAGCTGAGGGCAGGGAAGGCGGCCAGCGAAGTCGTGGTACCAAAGCCAGTTTGTTCGCATGGCGGGGCACAGGAGCAATCCTAAAAAAATGTGTTTCCGTTTCGTTCCAAGATTACGATACCGTCATCGCGTCAATATTCTTCTGGGTGGCGCTGAGTTGATCTCCTTTCAGGGTTTGGATGCAGGCCACTAAAATGATATTTTGAAGGGTAAGCCTAGCGAAGCTTAAGCTAAACCTAAGCCAAGCCTAAGCTAAACCTAAGCCAAGCCAAAACCTAGACATAAGTTGAGCTTAAGCTAGGCTAAGCCGACTTCAACCCACCTGCATTATAGTCGCAAATCGCCTGCCCCGAGCCGGATGCAAATCGTGGATGAGCACAGTTGCACTTATCGACGTTGTACCTGAAATTCGGGATTGTCAGGCATGTGGCGGCATTGCGAGAGAGAGAGCGAGAGAGAGGGAGAAAGAAGGAGAGCGAGAGAGAGAGAGAGTGAGAGCGAGAGAGTGAGAGCGAGAGAGAGGGAGTTACAAAGAGTGACAGAGAGAAAAATCCAATGAATCACCTCTGCTTGCACCCCAAGTAGCACGTCTCCATGGAGTACAGGTACTGTTGGTAATAGTCTGTACTCGACGGCTCTCGATCGACACACGTTCCGTAGGGGCTCTTCATGCGGCTCGTGGATGTCTGAAGGTGTAGGAAATTTTGGAAGATTCTAGAAGGCAAGCTAGCAGGGATGGTTTGGGAAGGAGCCTTTTCAATCCTGACAAACCATTGAAATCGAGACCGCAGTCAAGTAGCCGACACCGACGCTGATGGCCGAGCCTTCGAGGGATGGGAAAGCTCCCTAGAAATGGCATTTTTCTTCAAATTTCTATGATTTTTTGGACTGCGAAAAATTTGTTATGACTTTTTGAAAAATCAACCAGAAAAACAGAGCAGCTTTTCCACGTTTTTACCTGCGTATGTACAGAAACCCTGGCCCCGGACAGTTGCGTAGTCGGCAGAACGTCGGCCTGCCCGGAAGGTTCGGTTTGCTAAAAGGCACTAGTGTTAAGAAGAATAGCTCAGGGTACGGTAGGAGTCATTAGCAGCTTCAACCCGAAGCGCATGCCGGCACGAGAGCTCTGGTAGGTGGCGTTATCCGAGGAGCCGGCGCCGTTGAACGAGTAGCAGGCGCCGTAGACCGGGTCGACGAAGCTCGTGAAGTCGACGCTAAAGGGGACGCCGGTTTTAAAGGGACTGTAAAGGTCAACCAAAGCCGAATCTACCGTACTCCGAAATCCGAAGATTTCAAAGGGATTGTCAAGGCATGAATTCGGAAATTCGGTGCAAAAATTGAAAAATTACATAAACCACTAAGCTATACTCGGAAATGTACCGAAACTGGACGAATTTTCCATTTTTCGAGACCCACCCGCTGCAAGATTTCGAGTTGAACGTGCACTCGGTGACCAGCTCGTCGTAGCCGTACAGGGCGGCTTGCTAAAAATGGTTTTTTAAGGCGGAGAAAACCCACTCGTTCCGCATCACTCAACGCGGCCATCTCGATGATCAGCGAGTCCTTGATCGTCGTCTCCAGCTCGTACGGTTGGTCCCATAGGGCCTGAAAAGAGCCCATGGTCCTGTAGATGAACTTTAACGCGTCAATACTTGGCTTGCAAGTCCCTTTAAAATAGGAACCACCGTACCTGAATTCCCCAACGATCCGTGCCACCGCTATAGCTCTGCTGGTAGTTGTCCTTCATCGCGTTCACCGACGCTGCTATTAGTGCACGGACCTGGTCGAATTCTGAAGGCTTGGTGGAGTTTAAAGGGGGTAGCGACAGCAGTGTTTACGTGTATTCGCCGTGTTGCTGACGACGGTATACTTGTAGGGATTTAGGTTACAGATCGTTACTGCGGGGAATGGCTGAAGTTGGTCAGTGCCTTTAAAAATGTAGATGTTCACTTACAAGTTGCGAATATGAGATGACGGTATCGATCTGCGTGGGCCATTGGAGAAATTTTTTGACCATGAAGAACACCTCGCCGAGGAACACCAACATCATGATGGCGAACACGAGCGACTGGAAAAGTTTGATTTGATGTTGTCCTCTAGGAATCTCTGCTAGCCTGACTGAAATTTGCAGTTATAAGGCTGTTGTTCCTATATCACTCTATCGCAATTCTCTAGGATTCTCTGCTAGCCCGCCATGATAGTTCCGAGCGGCAGGAATAAGATGAGTTCCTTCCTAAGAGGTCGCTGCTAACTTGCCTTGGCAGCTCTTAGAATGTATCGAATCGAGAATTATCGATCTGGCTCTCTCTCTCACTCTCTCTCTCTCTCTCTCTCTCTCTCTCTATCACTCCCTCTCCCTATTTTCTCTCTTGCTGTCGCTCTCGCTCCCTCTGTGTGTCTCTCTCTCTCTCTCTCCTTTCTTTCCTCTCGCTCTCGCTCTGGCTCCCTCTATCTCTCTCTCTCTCGCTATATCTCTGTCTCTCTCACTCTCTCTCTCTCCCTCTCTCTCTCTCTCTCGCTCTCTCTCACCCAAAACAGTCGACTCCATCTCGTCCTCGCATCGGCAATGTGCGGAATGGCAGCGACCGTCGACCAGACGGCAAAATCGTACGCTACATGCTTCATGCCGGTGAAGAAGCCGACGGCCATTTTGGCGTACGGTTGGCCGGGCTCGGGCCCTAGTTTTTACTAAAAAAATCTGCAAATTAAAAATATTAAAAAGGTATTCTATATGTGGCATGTTCGGCTTTATCTTCAATCTGGCAATTTGTTTTTTAAGGAATTGTGGAGACAAAAGAGTTAGAATATTGGTTCTAGATTTTCAAAAAATTGTCTTGGAAGCGTATAATTGAAAATATTAAAACGGTACTCAACCTAAGCCAGTTACTCCTTATTTTAAAGAAATAATTTTGTTTTTGAAGGGGTTGAGAAGCCAAAAACCGTCGAATAGAGTTGAATAGATTATGAAAAATTTATGCTTAAAAACGTAAAACTAAATATATTGAAACGCTATGCCCATCTAGCTGTATTTTAAATACAAAAATTCGTTTTTAAAGGGTTTTCTAAAGGCAAAAAAAAAATTTCGGTTTAGATTTTAAAAAATCGTGCAACAAAAAGTGTTTTGTAAATAAAACAGAAAAAGCGGTGGGTGAGAAGCGGAAGGGGCTCGTTGACGCCGCTTACGCATAACCCGTGCTGTGTTTCCATGGTGGTGTGGGATGGGTGGCCATTGTCTACAAATGGAATAATTTATGAAAGAAAAGAGTGGAGCTCTTGGTATGTTCGCCCGTTCAATGGTTTGGCCTGGGATTTTTTTGCCGGAAAGGGATTTGCAAAAAACCTGGCAAAGATCAGGATAAAGGGTTTCTGCAATCATGCCTCGAAAGGAAACAAGGAATCTCTGCTAGGTTGCCCCAAATGTAATCGCGCTGCTTCGGATCTATCTCTTTGCTCGCGTTCTGTCGCTTTCTCTCATTTTCTCCCGCTTTATCTCGTCCTCACTCTCGACTCTCTCTTTCTCTCTCTCGCTTTCTCTCTGTTTCTCTCTCGCTCACTCTTGCTCTCTCTACCTCGCTCTCACTTGCTCTCTCTCGCTCTCCCTTGGTCTCTCTACCTCGCTCTCACTTGCTCTCTATCTTTCTCTCGCTCACTCTTTCTCTTTCTCGCTCTCTCTTGCTCTCTCTCGCTCTCTATTTCTCTTTCTCTCTCGCTCTCTCTCTCGTTCTCTCTTGCTTTCTCTCGCTCTCTCTTGCTCTCTTTACCTCGCTCTCTAACACTCTCGCTGCCATTTTCTGAGTTATATTTTGTATTTTTAAGCTGTAGTTGTAACCAATGCCTTAAAATGAACCGTTTATCCATTCATTTTCCAGCATTCTTCTAAGAGCTCAATAATAAAAAACACACCAGAAACATTGGCAATTTGGAACGCAACACGACACAGAAAAATGACAAATGACAAATGACACACGGCGGATTCGGGTAGGTGGCGGTTTGACTGTGGGGTACGGTATTAAAGGGGCGGGTAAGGCATGGCTAGGGATTTGTTGGTTATGGATTTCCTACGGAATTTGCAGTACGCACCACGCAACGTCGGCTAGTTTTTTCGTAGCGTAACGGATTTCGAGCGTTTCAAGAGGGCAAACTGATCGCGCGTTGCGTGTCGTGGATTTGGAAAATCTTAAGCTAATCAACAGCCGCGACGCGCAACGCATACACTCGTATTTTAGTGCGCAATCGATTACGATCTTTTCCGCGCGGCCGAGGGACCAATGCGTCACGTGCCGCGGGGTCTGAAAAACAGCCGCGACACGCAACCCGGCCCATTTGCCGGCTGGAAAAGGTAGTTGATCGATTACGTCATGGAAAGCTTGAGAGCGAACGTCGCGTGTCGCAACGCGGAGAACCGCTCTCCATCCGCGACACGTGACGCGCTGGAATATCGAAAAATCTCGCATGCGTTGCGTGTCGCGGCCTTGAGAAAATCCTGAGAAATCTATAGCCAAAAAATCTATAATCTTGCCTTGCCGGTCCCTTTAAAACATCAAAAAGTGGACTTAAAAGCGGGAAAATGCACATTGGCTATAGGACTATCGCGTAGTGGGGCGTCGCGGTGACGAAAATAATGGTAGGATTCGAGAGGGGAGGGGGTAACTGAAGCGAAAATGTTCATGCGAGGTGTATGTGGCGGGGCTGGGGAAAATCGATAAAAACGAGCTAAAAAAATTCCGCGAGGCTACGCGCAAAAAGACGGCTGCCGGAATTCGCAAATTCTGTGACAAGTTTTGGTCGACTGAGTGGCACAAAATGGATCGAGGAGGGGCAGGGGGAATCCAAGCTAAAAAATGCAAATCGAGGTGTTTTTTGGGCGTGGTGGGTACGGAAGAGTACGGTAGGTTACGATCGGAGCGGAAAAAAAAAATGGATTTTCAAAGATCAGAAATCGCAAAATGTCAGTGTTCTGCTTTTCCAAGTATAATCGGTTACAAAAGAGACGATCTAGGCTTAGGTTTTGGCTTAGGTTAGTCTTAGGCTTAAGTTGATAGCTTTTAAAGGACCATTGAAGCCAGCCAGCAATGAATTTTCCTGGCATAATCGATTACATGATGAATAGTTTTTAAAGGACGATTGAAGGCAGATAATTGTGGATTTTCTGGGCTACCTGATTATGCGATAATTCGCTTTGAAAGGAACCAGAAAAGTCCGGCTTATAAAAGGCTTGGCGATTTGCCAATTGTCTAGGGTTTAAGTTTTGTAAGCCAAGCCTAAGCCAAGCATAAGCCAAACCTAAGTCAGGCCTAAGCTTAAACCTCACTTCCGATACGCTACGCACACTACCGTACCGATCCACGCAAAAAAACAGCTCGTAGAATGATCACCAAATCATGTCTAATCTCACCATAACACTTCGAAAAACTAAAAAAATTGGGGCCAGAGGCAAAATAGCGGAAAACATGACGGAACTCGTATGCAATCGGGTGGATGAGAGGGTTGAGGAAGGGGGAGAAGGCCGAAAAATGCAAATTGGATTGATAACTTAGGAGATATAAGGTATGGCAGGTGGGGAGGAGGAGGAGGAGGAGGAGGTCGAGCTATTTTTGGGTGAGCTTGAAGAAGGTGGACGAGTTGGCGCCGATGTCGATTAACAGGCCGAAGACGAGCAGGGTTTCTTCGGATTTGTCTTCTTTGATGCCGCGGACTTCCTGGAAAAATAATATGATATTGGTCGTTCTCTCTCTCTCACTCTCTCTCGCTCTCTCTCTTACCTGCAATACACTGAAGTTATTCAGGACATCGCCCTGTTCGGTCTTCGACTCCAAATCTTTCAGCTGGGTGAGGAACAGGACCAGCCATTGGCACCTAAAAATACGTTTAAATTTTGATACGGTACGCTCTAATGTACAGTACGTTAGTGTATTATTACGGTACTCTGGTGCTTACTGTGTAGTTAGTACGAGCTAAACTATCAAAAAAGCGACTCACCATTCCGATTTCTCCAGTCGATACTCGTACTGGCCGTTGAAGGCGTTGGTGGTGGGAGAGGCGGGGATTTCCTGGACCAGATTTGCATAATTTCAAGGATGTTTGCATACCTCATCCTTTTCGACGACGGCATTCCCGAAGGAGAGCGCCAGTGTCCGTACCCGTAATGATGGATAGTGGACGGCACTGGCGTAGTGAGCATCTACCGCATACATGGCTGAGGAGTTGTCCACCTGGAAAAAAATACTGGCTTTAACGCGACTGTGGGAGGAGGGTCGATCGCTACGTTTTGCAGCTGTTTACAGCTATTTTAACTGCAAAATTTTTCATATATCGAAAAAAAGTGCTGTAGTACGCCGCATTACGTATGCGTCGCGGCTTCCGCTACTGTAAGTACACGGTGGATGCGTCGCGTACTCTTTGTCATGCGTCGCGTACGTATGGCGGCTGATTTACCTATGCGCTACGCACGTTGGCTGCGCTTCGCGTTCGTACTTCTACGCGCTACGCTTCCAAAATTAACACGACGCACACGCTAGGCGTGGGTTCTTTTAAAGGGATGGTGACAGCAAGTCCTCTGTAATGCTCACATCAAAATCGAGGTTTGCCCATCCGCGGACGAGGAACAGGGCGTCGGGGGTGACTTTTCGGAGTCGCGGCATCTCGGCCTGGAAGTACTCCTTCAGGTAGTCGAGGGGGATGTCCTGAAAAGGGAAAATAAAAATCATACATCATTTCAAAACCGTTAACGTTGCAAAAAAAACAAAACTAACCGTCAAATCGCCATCGACGGACGTGGTGATGCTGAGGATCTCCTTCCGGTGGCCGTTGTGCTCCACATAGGCGGTGAAGTCCTAAAGAAAGAGGTAAGCTAAGTATCCTGGTCTTGGCTTAAGCTTGGCTTAGACTTGGCTTAGGCTTGGCTTGAATTAAGCAAGGCTTCGGCTTGGCTTAGGCTTGTCTTGACTTAAGCATGTCTTAGGCTTGGTTTAGGCTTGGCTTAGGCTTGGCTTAGGCTTGGCTTAGGCTTGGCTTAGACTTGGCTTGACTTAAGCATGGCTTAAGCAAGGATTAGGCTTGGCTTGACTTAAGTTTCCATACCTTCAGCGCCAATCGCTTCGACGCGAGATAGCTGACTTTCTGTGTGGTCTCCTCGGGCGGCGTGACAGGCTTGATCATCGCCAGACTGCTGTAGAGGTCCGTACTGCAAAAATAACGTTCCTATTTTAAAGGGACAGTGACAGGAAGGATTTCCACTCAAAAACTCACCCAAAGGCCGCCGTTGGGAATGCTCCATTGGGGAAGGGCATTCCGGGGAGGAACGGGAAGGGGTGGGGGAAAAGGTTGGCTGAAACAGTAATGTAATTTTAACAAGTCAAATTTTAGTTCATTTTTAAAACTATAAAACACAGGTACAAACTACAACGGGTACGCCTTTGTACATAGTATAAAACGTACTAATCTGCTGTAGATGCATGCCCTTGTCCAGCTCGGGCGTGACCGGATTCGGCATCATCAGGGGGTGCTGAAAATTGGTGGTATTAGGACTAAAAATCCCCCCTTTTAAACGCTTAATTTACGCCAATTTTACCAAAAAAAACTGTAAACTACGCAGAAATACAGCTTACGTATAACCAGTTGCGCTAGGCGATTAATTACAAACCATGCGGCACTTTCCTAAGCACCAGAAATATACTATATGATTAAAAATGGCTTTAAGCCCTCAAGAAAGGTTTGGTCCCTGTGGTGCAGTGGGTAGTGTCCTCGCCTCTCAGGTTTACTATCCGAGTTCGACCCCTTTCGCGCAACATTTTTTTGCTTTTTGGCCCTACAAGGCGTCACTTACCGTAGGCAACGCTGGATTGCTCGGTTTATCGTTTGGAGCCACGGGGCTGCCTCCAAGCTTGATCGGGTCCCTTGGCGAGGTTGATGAAGCCGTCGATGCGGAGGTTGGTAGATGAACAGGGGCGGAGGCGGGGCCTTGTGGTGATCCGGGGTCATGCTAAAAGTTATTGATTAATTGAGGATTGCAGTAATCCACCTACTTTCATGCCTTTGCCCTCCCTCATCTTCTTGCGGGCGAGCACCTGGATGTGGCTGCTCACCTAAAATTTCTGGAATATTTTTGGGATTAAAGGGGCGTTGAATTCATAAATTATGGTGTATTTAATTATCGTAATCAGGCCAAAAACCACAAAGTCAACTTTTTTCAAGTTTAACCGAATTTTTTGGATTTGTAGTCTGTGGCTTGTCATGATTGTGGGTCTGTAGTTTGTCGCTACAACTTGTAGTCCGTGAATTAAAGGGGCGATCTTGTGTAGCCTTTGTAAGTTACAGACAACAAACCAAAACCTTCGAAAGCCGAGAATTTTCAAAAATTTTTTAGTTTGTAGTCTGTAGTTTTGTGATGCCGTTTCTAGCCTCTAATTTGTAGTTGTAATTTGTAGTCCAGTATAACTTAAGGAGACTACAAACTACAAAAACTCATGAAATAGGTTTTTCGCAACATTTGTAATTTTTTAGTCTATTCTAGCTATTTTTGATCCTAGTTGCAGCGTGTAGTCTGTAGTTCCAGGCGTAGTTTGTAGTCTACGCTTAAAAAAAATAATTTTTACCTGCTTCCGCGTCCGCGATTTCCCGCATCGGATTTTAATATAGCGTGCGATCAGCTCGTTTCGGCCTGAAAAATTGACGTTGTTCAACGTTTCTGCTTTGGAAATTTCGATGTGGTTTTTTGGAAAGATTATACACGAGCTTCACGCGTCATTGAAAATCGACTTTTACTCGATTTTCATCATCACTTTTCGCGGATTTTCAAGTTAGAAATCTCAGAAATTTTGAAAAATTTGAGTCTGACTTCACAGTCCCTTTAAAGCGGAATTTTTTGACGCGAATGACATTGGGCTTTTGACATTCTCCTTTTGGGCTGCATATCTAATCCCGGCGTGCGTGCAGGGACGTAGCGTAATACAGACCTCGGGGCCCAGGCCCCCGAAATCGGCCGGGGCCCGAAAATTTCATAAGGGGGGACCCTTATGATTTTCATTTTCTCAAAAATTTTGCTGCCTGCGGCGCTATTTTTTTACTTTTTTTTACGGCTATTTGTAGAGCTATGTAACCTTTTTTTCATAAAATTTTTTGAAAAAAAATTTTGAGGGCCCCCCCGAAATTTTTTTCTGGCTACGCCCCTGCGTGCGTGCCATAAAGGGCCATCTGCCGTCCCCTGGTGGGGCACAAATCGCGGGCCCAAAGCTGACGAAACGACGATGCCCCCAAAAAATTGGACATCCATCAACTCTTGTCAGGGGGTGGAGGAAGGGAGGGAGACATTTTTTGAATATAGCCATGATCGGGGTGGAGATACGGTAGTCAGGGAAGAAGAGGTTGGGGTGAGAATGCCCGGATTTCGCAAGGTGAAGCTCGTAGAGAGAGCATGAGCTTGATCTGTTCGAAAAATCGCACGAAAATCAGGCTTTCTCTAGAAAATCAAGTCCCAAAAATGAGTTAATTTTCGGGGCAAGCTTGCAGAGATCGTTGAGGATACCGAGCAAGGCAGGCTAGCAGCATTCTTTGAGGATACTAAGCGAGGGAACTCGCAGAGATCCCTTGCGGAAAATCACACAAGGCAGGCTAGCAGAGATCACTTGGGAAAAGTTGCGCTAGCCAGGCTAGCAGAGATCTTTGAGGATTCAGAGCGAGGCGAGCTAGCAGAGAACTTTTAGGACCCTGCATTTTAAAGGGGGCGCTGAAGGTTCGATTTGACGAGCAAGTTTTTATCAAGTGGGCGAGCTAGCAAAGATTGTTAGAGATTTTAAGCCCTTCAAGGCAATTTTTGAGCCAAAAGCGCCTCATAAAGCTATAGGCTCCGCTAGTAAAAATTAGAGGCAAGCTAGCGGTGATTCTTGCGGATTTTTCACAAGTATGCATGGTCGGCCCCTTTAAGTCGGTAATTTTTAAGACCCCCAAATTCTCTCACCATCCCTCTTGTCCATGGCTTGCACCACCAGCTGCTGCTACTAGGGGTCATTTGGCGTGTGCAACAGTGTCTCTATCTCTCTCGCTCCCTCTCCCTCTCTCTCTCTCTCTCTCTCTCTCTCTCTCTCTCTCTCTCCCCCTTCCCTAAGGGCTAATCCTGGTGTTTGCAGGCGGTGGTCTTCTAAAGGGCCCGTCCCCCTCATCATCCCTCCCGAATGCTAGCTTCTGTCTTATAAACACAAACACAACCTCTAGTAGCCGCCAGCCTCCCTGCTGTGGAAATGCGTGTAACAACTTCCTTAGACCCGCCGCCTAATTTGGGTGGGATTAAAGGGGCGTTGAAGGCAACGGTCGGGCTGGGGATTTTTGGCTTTGATGGTTGGCACGTTAATGGACCATAATAGGCGACAATGCGGCCAAAAAAGTTTAATATTAAAGGGCCGTGGAAGGCAACAATGGGGAGAATATTGCCTTTTTAGTGCCGTCGCTTTAAATGGAAGGATAGCGTTCAAGAGCGCAGCTACTTCCGGAAAGTCTGCACATTAATAGTCGCCCTGTCGGGCCGAATTAAAGGACCGTTGAAGGCAAAAGCCGGGATGTAAATTAAGTTTTTATGGGCACAAGTCTGACAAAAAATTTAGCGGGAGCGTTAAAGTTAAATTAAGATAGCGTTAAAGGGACAGGAGCCTCCAGAAAACCTACGCACTAATAGCCGCTCAGGCCCATCGAATTCTAGGGGTTAAAGGGCCGTTGAAGGCAAAAGTCGGGGTTTTTTATGCTTCCGGAACTAATGGTAAAATGCATAAAGCACACCGCCTTTAAATGGCGTAATTGATTACGCCACGTAAAAGCGGAGACCGACGGCAAAAACGGATTCAGAAGTAAAAAGCTGAGAATCGGCGACAGTACGGCCTGGTTTAAAGGGATTGTGAAGTCAAGGAAAATTTCGTTCACCAATAGAGAAAATCTATACAAAAAATCCATAAATTAAACTTATTAAACTCGATACTCCACCCACCATACATCTTCCCCTCATCCGACAAAATAATTTTCCTCCTCCCACATGGCGGATAGATGTTGAGGGCTTCTTGGAATGCCTGCTCGATGTCGGCCGACCACACTCCTTCTGGGTCCCCGGAGATGTCGTCGCCACTCTGAAGTATAGACGCATTAATGGGAGGTATCTTGGACCGACCTTGTCGAGGTCGGAGGCCCAACTCTCTTCATTTTCGCGTGACATCGCCCCCGAGCTGCTCTGCATCGGTTCGGAATTTATGCCGAGCATGGCGGCTTGATCGCCGGCAGGAGGGGAGAGCTGGAAAAGCACGATTTTATAAAATGCAGCGAAAATAGTTTTCTAATTTAAATTGAAATTAAAATGAATTAATTAATCGAATTAAGTTGAAAATTAAGCAGTTTTTAAAAATGGAAAAAAATGGGCGAAAACTTAGAATATTGCAATTTTTGTATTTTCAATAACCTTGGTAAAGTTTTTGTGTTTTTAGAGTTAAAAGCCAAGAAACGACTCACGTTCAACATTTGAGCGCCGCTGGCCCACGCATTCGCAGGTTTCTGGTCTATCGGGGAGCCGGAGGGTCTGAAAATACTGTGTAAAAAATTTGTAGCCATTAAAATAACCAAAAAACATAAAAAAATTATAGAAAATCGAAAATCTAAGTTTTCAAACGAGTTTAACCTTAAAAAGATACCGATTCAGGTCGATCCCGCTGACCGGCGGCATCAACCGGGCGGCCGTTTCGTTCATCTGGAAAAATTGGAGATGAATATGGAAATTTTGACATGACGAGCGAGGGAGCGAGAGAGAGAGAGAGCGAGAGAGAGAGAGCGAGAGAGAGCGAGAGAGAGAAACAAAGATTCAAACGCATTTCTGATTTTTAAAACAACCAAATCCACATTATACATCAAGGCCAAACTTGCACCCAAAAAAGGCGTGTTCATGTCGTGGAGGCTAAAAAAAGCTTAAAAATGACTGGAATCCGTGGATGTGTGCACAGGCCATTTGCGGAACAGGGATTTCTAGATGTTTGGAGGCTGGTAGCGGGATCTCACACGGGGATAGTATAGTTACGCAACATTCGGAAAAGTATCTGAAGGCTAAGAAGCATAAAAATTACTGAAAAAGTCATTTTAAGGGGGTGGGGCCTAAAAATCACTAAGTGGCATGCCAAATTTCATGGGATAATCGGTTCGGAGTTGTTTTCGTTCGTTCGTAGAGCGAGAGAGGGAGCATGAGAAAGAGAGAAAGATGCAGAAACACCGAGAGAGAAAGAGAGAGAGAGAGAGAGAGAGAGAGAGAGAGAGAGAGAGAGAGAGAGAGAGAAAGAGAGAGATATCAAAAACTTTCGGGGTTTAAGGTGCCTTTACGGTTTAAAGGCATCCTGCAGGCAGATCAATGCGAAGAAATAGAGAAAATGGGATTAACAGCTATAAAAAGAGAACAGAGAGATAAAGAGACAGAACTAAGTTTCCTAAATCCCAAATACCGCCATTTTTTGTAACATCCTGCTCCCAGTCCACTCCCCCTTTTCTGGCCTACGTGTGAATAGCGTGGGTCAAATATCGAGTGTGAACGAGCGAAACCCGGTAGGGGAGTCCCCCGACTTGCGATCTTCCGATCCGCCCGAAAAACAGGACAAACATTCGGGGAGGGCCAACGGAGGAGACCGGGCCAAACCCCTCCACCCCCCTCCCCATTCCGCGACACAACCAAGAAACGAGTACTTAGGAGCCGCGCGGAATCGGATTTCCCATTTAAGGTATGGTGAAGTTTCGGGCGGTGGTGAATGGGGACAATGATCGGGAAGGTAAAGAACAGTGTGGCGAGAGAAAGAGAGAGAGAGAGAGAGAGAGAGAGAGAGAGAGAGCGGGAGAGAGAAAGTTTGTTTTGCTGAAAACAACGCAACAAGAAACTTTCAAAATCACATTTTTCAATGCTTTTCGTTAAAAATGCTGCTATATGACCAAAAATCCACAACGGTCAACGCCTTAGCTGTGAAAACCAGCTGATACACTCCCTATAAAACAATTTTCTAGCCTGAATTGCCATTTTCTCTGCGATTTTTGCCCAAAATCCGTTAAAAATCGTCACGATCCCTTTAACTTAATTTTTGTCATAAAAATCCCGGATTCCGCTGAAGATTTGAAAAAAATCAATAAGTCCAAGTTGTTAATCCATTTAAACGCCAAAAATCACAAATTCAAATTCACGTCACTGGTTGGGCAAAAAAGGCTGGAGACCTTGCAGGAGCAGTGCCTTTTCAGTCAATACCAGAAGAAGGGGGTCGATGTGTCAGAGGCTAATGGGACTAGTTCTCTACCGGGGGGGCACACCATGTCGAACTCGTCGCCGCCGCCATCATCACAAAAGAGAGTGGGTGTTGGTTTAAAGGGGTAGCGAAGGCAGTCTGCGACTCCTTTTAATAGGATGAAGTTTTTCTAAAAAGTCATCGGGTTTTGTGGACTTTTTAGCGGACGCACCCAATATTTTGGGCTAGGAAGTCATTACGTCGTTTTCCGGGTTTAAAAACCACAAATCCATATTTTTTGCCTTCATAGGCCCTTTAAAACGAGTGGGAAGGGAAAGCTGCATGCGGTATTTCTCATCCGTTATAGATTACGACTCTGTGATAGAACAGTTACCATACGCGTAGCGTGTCGCGTGTGTGTCGCGTTTTGCGCCTCGCGTAGCGCTAGATCCATAGCAAAAACATATACCCAAGCCCCTTTAGAAGCACTCGGAGGGTTTTAAAGGAACACGCAAGTAAGTCCAAAGGGCTACTGAAGTGAATCAGTTGGACAACTACAGCCAAAGCGACCCTAGGCCAGTTTAAAGCGACCGGGAAACCAGCGAGTCAGCTTGAAAGTAGCCCAGCTTCTTAACCCGATCTTTAGATTTTTTCGGGTATTTAACCGGAGCCCCCGAGTCGAGCGTGCTAGCCCTCCAAATTAACCGTGTCGGATTCTAAACGCCCAGAAAAGGCCAAGAATCACAGAGCCCAGATTTGTGTAGCCTATGAAACTCAGAAAGGGGGCGGGGTCTGTCCAATTCCGGGGGGCTACGCGCGATTCCTCTTTACGCGCCCTGCCTTTTCTGGGGGTGGTTGTAATCGGAACCTGTGTCCCGTTTGGACCAGAAATTCGATCGAGGTCAACAGTCCGTATTCTTGCCTCTCTGGCTCTCTCTTTCTCTCTCGCTCTCTCTCTCTCCCTCTCTCCCTCTCTCTCTCTCTCTCTCTCTCTCTCTCTCTCTCTCTCTCTCAGGGGGGCTACGGGCGGACTGTCAGGACGGGGAAGAGGTGCAATCTGGAAAGTACGGAATGGGACCTCGGGGCCCACAAACCGTCACGAAAGCCAGGGGCGCGAGAGAGAGAGAGAGAGAGAGAGAGAGAGAGAGAGAGAGAGAGGTGCAAAAGATCGGGCCAAAGATTGTGCTAACAGCACCGAGGCAACGGGGCCTGGTTTTTTGGGGGCAGTCGAAAGTTAGGGCGAGGCCAAAAAATGCTGATAGATTAGAGTTGGAGGACGACAAATAGTGTTCAAACGCTCCGAGATGCTCATTTTTACGAAGGAATCTATGCGTTTTTCGATTTCGTTTTTCCTCGAATGACAATCTCGCTCATTCTCTCCCTCTCTCTCTCTCTCCGTCTCTCTCTTTCGCTCTCTCTCTCTCTCTCGCGCTCTCTGTTTCTCTCGTTCGTTGCGTATTGCGCTATTTGTGCCAAGTTACCATAAAGCTCTCGGTCCCTGTAAGCCAATTTTAAGCGATCGTGCCAGGAAAAAAACGCGATTTTTGCTTTTTAAGATTTCTGGCGATTTTCCGAGGATGTTCAGGTACTGTAGCTCGCCACGCGCTATTTTAGCGCTTTGCCGCAAAGCACAAAAAGTGCTGTTTTTTTCAGAGTTCTCACCGGAGGGCCTCAAATAGGGAAGGGCGGCGCGGAGGGCGGGCTCAAATAGAGAACTGGATCCCCCGGGGGTTCGGATCCTTAAATGGAGAAGTACGGGATCGTGTCCTGAGGGTATCGAAGCGAGAGAGAGAGAGAGAGAGAGAGAGAGAGAGAGAGAGATACGGTCTCTCGATCTCGCCTCCCTGTGAGGTCCCGAATGTGTGCCCCTGTCAAGTAGCAAAATATTGCATCCTTCACACCTCTTCCCCCTATCCCGATCCCGCACTTTCTAAATTGTGTGAGAGCAAAGAATGGATAGGATGTGGTGTGGATTTCAGGACCCGATCGAGCGGCTTTTAGAAAAACCGGGGGTTTATGTAAATTAGCGCGGTGGGTACCGTAATCTGACGGAAAGTACGGAAATTGCGGTGGTGAAGCATGGCTGGGATTGAGGTGTCGGTGACTCCGAGCTTAAAGGGACGGGAAGTCAAAATTCATGGTCGGATCAGAACAGTTAAGAATGAGCAGAAAAAGTCGTGCTCTCAACGCTCACCTCTAGCCACTAGGTGGAAGTTCAACCAAAAGCCTGACCGCGAAAATCCTGACAGCTATAATGCCGACAGCCTATATTTCGATAAGCATCATCCCGACAACCAGAATACCGACGGCCAAAATCTTGACAATAAACCCGACAAGCTCCTGACGCTAGCTTAGATTCCACTTCCCCTTAATCAGCCATTTTGAATGTCGGGATTTTGGCCTTTTCCAGGTGAGCTTCTGCTCCTAAAGAATCGCTGCTAGCAGGCCTTCGCAAATGGCCCTGGTTTCCCCAAGAATCCCTGCTAGTCAGATTTGCCGGAAGCGTCGTAGGATCGGCATGAAAATTGGATGATGGATTACAAAGGTGATGTGGCAGGGCGAGAGACGACAGAGATCAGAGTAATGGAGAGAGAGAGAGAGAGAGAGAGAGAGAGAGAGAGAGAGAGAGCGAGTGGGCTAGAGAACAACTGATATCTCTCTGACCTTGGCCCAATTGACCCGAAAAAACCAGTCCATCAAATTGAAATTTCATGAGAATCACTACCCGAGATTACGGTATCGAACAGAGGTGCCCGGGCCCAGCGGTTCGTATAATTTTACGTTTCAGATGGCGAGAGAGAGCGAGAGAGAGAGAGAGCGAGTGAGACAGAGATCGGGTGCTTGCCAATAGCCCTCGCCACGGCCGAGCAGTCAGACGAGACGACGATAGGGCGGGGTCCAGGGGGCCGAACGGCAATTTGACGTTTTGTGCGTGCGGTAGGGGGGATGGAGGGGCAAAAATTGAGGGGTAGATATCGGGTATGGAGGGGGACATCTCCTCACACACCTTGCCCACCCATGCAAAAAGGCTTCTAGGATTTTAGGATCGGGATATATCGGGAACGGAGGCCGTTACGTGGATTTAAAGGGACTAAGAAGCCAAAGAACAGGGTTCTAAAATTTTTTGAAGCTTTCGAACTAAATAAATAATTTTGCTTTGGATCGCGCTAAATTGGTCGGATAAAAACTTTAAAAACACTTTAAAAAGTGGTAAAATTTCTGGCAGCCTAAATTTGAAGCTTACGGCAAAAAATTTTAGCTAAAAAGCAGGCAAGCTGGCGGAGAGCTTTTAGGAAACCAAAAAGGACTAAAATAACCGACGAAGGGCTAAAAAGGGACCGAGAGCGACTAAAAAGAACGGAAAACCATAATTTGTCCGTGAATTAATTGTCCAAACAGGCCAAGGCAAGCTAGCAGGGATCCTTGCGGAAATGAACAGATAATCCATTTCCAAAAATGCAAAAAAACTCAAAAAAAAACATCTGCTTTGCTGTTTGTC